TAAAATTCTCCCTTAAAATTCTCCCTTAAAATTCTCCCTTAAAATTCTCCCTTAAAATTCTCCCTTAAAATTCTCCCTTAAAATTCTCCCTTAAATTTCTCCCTTAAATTTTTCCTTTAAAACCCCCTCGGCGCTAAATATTCCTGCATTTGCCAACGGAGGAGAGCTCCGGCTGATGGAGGAGCACCTGTAAATCGCCACGGCGGGACCGTGGAGCTGTCGCGGTCGCCTGAGGCTGCTCCGTGGGGCCGTGTCAGGGGGGAGGAGGCGCCAGGTGGGAATGGGGACAACACGTGGGAACCTCGCTGCGGGTCTGCCACAGCTCCGGCAGTGCTGGCTCAGCAGCGGAGCCGCTGCCAGCCCCCGGCTGCCTCGCATATGTTTGGAGGAGCAGGCAAGGAAAAGGCACAATTGTTTCCTGCTGTCAGCTTTTTCCYAAAGCTCCGGCCCCGTGGGCTTTGGGAACATCAAAGCCGGTTGGGGTTTTGWGCTCGGAGGCTCCTGAAGTTTTAACTCAGTGGGGAAAGGGGGTTTGGTGCTGGTTGGGAACGGGATGTGTTTGGGATCGTGGAGAAAAGGGGATTTGTGAAGCGCCTGCAAGCTCCGCTGAGCGCTGACAGCACTGCCAGGCAGGCTGGACGAAATATTTGGGATATTTAGGGCTTGTGAGGGTTATGGGGATTACTCAGAGCCTCCAAATTTGTGAGATTAACAATCGCCCCGGCTCCAGGAGTCGGGCACAATCCCTTCTTCAGGGATGGACGGATTGAGCCGTCCTGCCAAGGGCTCATAAATCAAATCAGGCCGGCCTTGGTGCCAGGCAGGAGGAGCCGTGCTCGGGTCATCTTTCCCAGCTGGTGGATGGAAAGCTGCTGTGGAGCATCCCAAGGGTCTGGCTGCGAGCTGGGCGCGATTCCCGGTGCTGAGGGACACAGAATTCCCTGCTTTTTTTCGGATTAAATCATTCTGGGCGCTGGACCCCGGGTTCTGGGGTGGAAATGGGTGGTGGGACCCAAATCAAGGTTGGGTTTTGTCTCCGGAGGAGCTGCTGGGTGCTGTCCCCGCTCCCGGAGCGCTGGAAGGATGGATCGCAACGCTGCCATCGATCCTGCAGCCTGAGACAGCTCCACGCTTCCCTCCCGAGCGAGATTTCAAGGAAGGAGGAAGTTTTCCCCTGCCAGGATCCCCGAGGGATGGAGGAACGATGTTCCTGCTCTGTCCTGGAGCCCTGGGATCGCTGCTGCTCCCTCCCTGTGCTCTTTGGGGGTTCAGAGCCTGATTTGGGGGGTCAGCTCCCCATGAATGTGGGGTTCAGGTTCACCCCGAACCGCTGCTCTCTGCTGACCCCTCCCCGGGTTCGCTGCGATGTGTGACGAGCTCTGCCCCGGGAAATGCAGCTTTGAGTCCCCGAGRTTGGGGTTTGAGCCCTCCTCAGTCCCCGGTGGTGCTGTGGGGGCTCCAGGGGCGCAGAGACCCCCAACAGGAGCCCCCTAAGGAGCCCTGAGCTCCTTTTGCCTGGAATGACCTGGGTGAGACCCCCAGGAACCCCTGATGGGGTGTGGGGCTGCAGGAGCCGCTGCAGCAATGGGGTGGGAGTGCTGGGAGGACCTGTCCGGGCTCAGACACCCAAGAGGGAGGTGAAATTTTGGGGAAATCCACCCCTGACACTGCCAGCTCCAGCGGGGAGCTCCATCCACCTGCATTTCCCTTTCCTTCCCCATTTTGCCGGGTTTCAGGCTGGAATTTGGAGGTTAAAATCCCGCACGCGGTGATGGCAGAAGCACCAGAGTGTCCCAAATTGGTGTTTGGGGTATTTTAAATCCAAAACCTGTATTTTTGCTTCCTGCTGAATGTTTGGGTTTGTTCCCAGAGTTTGGGGCAGCCCTGGGCTGATCCCACTGGGGTGAGCAGGGCTAAGGGAGGTTTTGGGGGGCTCTGGAGCTGTTCTGGACCCCTGAGCTGATCCCACTGGGGTGAGAAGGGTTGAGGGATGTTTTGAGGGGCTCTGGAGGTGTCCTGGACCCCTCAGCTGATCTCACTGGGGTGAGAAGGGTTGAGGGATGTTTTGGGGGGCTCTGGAGCTGTTCTGGACCCCTGAGCTGATCCCACTGGGGTGAGAAGGGTTGAGGGATGTTTTGGGGGGCTCTGGAGGTGTCCTGGACCCCTCAGCTGATCTCACTGGGGTGAGAAGGGTTGAGGGAGGTTTTGGGGGGCTCTGGAGCTGATCCCACTGGGGTGGGCAGGGCTAAGGGAGGTTTTGGGGGGCTCTGGAGGTGTCCTGGACCCCTGAGCTGATCCCACTGGGGTGAGAAGGCTTGAGGGAGGTTTTGGGGGGCTCTGGAGTTGTTCTGGACCCCTGAGCTGATCCCACTGGGGTGAGAAGCGATGAGGGAGGTTTTGGGGGTCTCTGAGCTGTGCTGGACCCCTGAGCTGATCCCACCGGGGTTTGCAGGGCCCAGAGGGGCTCTGGAACTGTCCTGGACCCCCTGAGCTGATCCCACCGGGGTTTGTAGGGCCGAGGGAGGTTTTGGGGGCTTTGAGCTGTGCTGAACCCCTGGGCTGATCCCACCTGGGTTTGCAGGGCCCAGAGGAGCTTTTGGGGTCTCTGAGCTGTGCTGGACCCCCCGACAGTCTCCTCTCAGGGTGATCCCCCCCCAGTCCTGCCTGTCTGAGGACACGGACCCCTTTTTCCCCTTTTCACAGCCCCCGTGCCCGGCTCACAGGAATGATCCCGATCTCTTCCCGTCCTCCAGATCCCAATCCCCCGCAGGATTCCGGAGCTCTCAGTCCCTTCCACTCATCACCGCAGCGTTTTTTGCTGTGAGAGCAGCACGGTGACTCGAGCAGGAGCTCCCTGGGGACACGAAAGTCCCCCAGGCTGGCCCTGCTCGCTGCAGGGGACACGGGGACTGCTGTGGGATAATCCTCGCYTCCCCCACATCCTCACCTTGTCCCCGCAGGGTTTTGGGTTTTTAATGATGGCTTTTGCAGGTCTGAGCTGGCCTGATTATCATTTTTTCTTCTTGATGTGAAGGAACTTGGAAAAGGCTCCCTGAGTGGGAAAAAAAAAAAAAAAAAAAAAAAAGAAAAAAAAAAAAGAAAAAGAGCTCGGAGTTGAAGGGATTCTGCTGCAACGGGAACGCCGAGGGGGGGTTCCTGTATCCGTGTGGGAAGGACAGGGGGAGCTGAGCTGGCTGGGACTGCGGGATTTTCCATGGAATTGCCCATCCCGATCCTACAGAGATCAGCCCAAAGCTCTCAGGGGCAGCTGCAGGTTTTTGGTGGGGCCGGGGCGTGCTCTGGGTGGTCCTGAAATGGAGTTTGGGACATTCTGAGAGTCGTTTCATGTCCTGGACCAAGCCCTGGGCACCGGGACTGGTTGGTGACAGGGACACAGGGACCAGGCCGTGCCATCAGCGCTGCTTTTCCAGCCCTTGGGAAGGGTTTGCATCACCAGGACGCACCCAAATCCCGCGGTGCCACATTTTGGGGTGATCCCGAGGGGTTTGTGTGTCAGGAAATCATCCAGTGCCTCCCTGGGGGCTGAGCTGAGCCCCCCAAATCCATTCTGGTGCCCCCTCATGCCAAGGCCAGCAGGACTGGGTGCCACCTTGGCCCGGTGGCACTTCCAGGGGACACAGTTGTGTCACTCCTGGCTGGACGCAGCAATTTTCACCCACCGGGCAAACCGAGGTGACATTTTAATGCTCATTAAGGACCTAACATCACCCCCAATTAGCGTTAATGATCCCGCTCCCCARCCAGGCGGGGTGGCTCAGTCGGGGAAGCATTTTGGGGATTTTTTGTGAGGTTTCCCCATCGCTCGCGGCCTCGGCCGCCTCTGTCCCCGTCACTCCGGCGGGAGCTGCCTCGGCTCTCGGGGCTCGGAGCTGCTCCTTTTTCATTTGCCAGGCGTTTTTCCTGCCGTGACTGTGCACATCTCGCCCGGTTCCCTCCCTCCCTCCTTCCCTCCCTCTCTTCCTCCCCCAGAAATCCCACGGCTTTGCTGTCAGAGGACCATCAGCTCTGCAGAACGCTCTCTGTTCTTCCCCGGGCTGTGCCGGGCTGGGCACTGGGGGCCACGGGCCAGCGGGAGAAAGGAGAGGTGGCCTCGGCCCGTCTGCTGCAGCGGGAGATGGATGAGGGCGGTGACAAAGCCCGGGGAAGTGACAGAGCCGGGGAGGTGACAGAGCCGGGGCAGTGACAGAGCCGGGGATGGTGACAGAGCCCGGGGTGGTGACAGAGCCCGGGACGGTGACAGAGACTGGGCAGTGACAGAGACTGGGACAGTGAGAGAGCTCGGGACAGTGACAGAGCAGGGACAGTGACAGAGCCCGGGACAGTGACAGAGCCCGGGCAGTGACAGAGCCGGGACAGTGACAGAGCCCGGGACAGTGACAGAGCCCGGGACAGTGACAGAACCCGGGCAGTGACAGAACCCGGGCAGTGATAGAGCCCGGGACAGTGACAGAGCCCGGGCAGTGACAGAACCCGGGCAGTGATAGAGCCCGGGACAGTGACAGAGCCCGGGCAGTGACAGAACCAGGGACAGTGACAGAGACTGGGACAGTGACAGAACCCGGGCAGTGACAGAGACTGGGACAGTGACAGAACCCGGGCAGTGACAGAGCTCGGGGCAGTGACAGAGCCTGGGACAATGACAGAGCCTGGGGCAGTGACAGAACAGGGACAGTGACAGAGATCAGGACGGTGACAGACCCGGGCAGTGACAGAGCCCGGGGACAGTGACAGAGCCCGGGACAGTGACAGAGCCCGGGACGGTGACGGAGCCCGGGCAGTGACAGAGCCAGGGGACGGTGACAGAGCCAGGGACAGTGACACGGCCGTGGCCGGGCCGTTCTGGCCGGGCAGGCAGGGCAGCAGCGCTGCCAGCTGGGCCTCCTCCACCCTTTTCCTCCACCTCCTCCTCCTCCTCAGCGCCTTCTCCAGCCTGGCTGCCGCCTGTGGGGCAGGGATGGGACGGTTTTCCTTGTTCAGGATATCCCCGAGCGCTGCCTTTGGGGTTTTCCTTGTTCAGGATATCCCTGAGCACTGCGTGTGGGGTTTTCCTTCTTGAGGATGTCCCTGAGCGCTGACTTTAGTGTTTTCCTTACCGGGGGATGTCCCTGAGCGCTGCGTTTGGGGTTTTCCCTGTTAGGGCTGTCCCCGAGCTCGGCCTTTGGGGTTTTCCTTGTTAGGGATGTCCCTGAGCTTGGCCTTTAGGGTTTTCCTTGTTAGGGATGTCCCTAAGCCCTGCCTTGGCTGTGATCAGACCCACATCCCCCAATTACCAACTCATTAGCTAATTACCAGCTTCCCTCACCCCGGGGCTGGGACAGGCCCTGCCCAATCCCCTCAGTGTCCGCTTCTCCTTTCCAGCCCCATCTCTCTCTCGTTCCAGCGTTTCTCTGTCTGGTCCCTCCTTCCCTCCCTCCCTCCTTCCTTCCTTCCTTCCTTCCTTCCTGCCTGCCTTCCCCCTTGGCAGCCCCGGAGCCGCGCGGTGCCAGCCCGGGTGCTGTTCCCTGGCTCGGCCGCTGCCACAGGCGGGAGGGGACACATCGCATCCCCTCGGGGACAGCCCCGAGAGTGGCAGCGGTGGCGCTTCCCTCCTCATCCCGCCAGGAAAGGAGGAGCGGGGCCGCTTCTCTGCGGTCCCCGGGAGGTGACAGCTCAGCCGGGACTGCCACAAGCTCCGGGGTGACCCAAACCTGCCGGACACGCGGCCTGGAGCMGCTCCAGGGGCAGGATGTGGCCTCAGCTGAGCGTTCCCACATCCATTTCCATGCCTGAATTGTCCTGCTCTGAACGCGGGTTTGGAGGGATGGCTGCGCTTCTCCGCAAAAATTGGATGGAAAATCTGCCCCGTGGAGGTGTCACCCTCCTGGCTGGCTGCTGGGTGACACGGGAGTGCGCGGCATCTCCCTCCTCTCACCCCAAAATCGGGATTTTCTGCMGMCGGAGCCGCAATTTCGGGGCKGGGAGCGGGAGGCGCGGGTGTCGCSGCTGCTCGGGTGGTGGCACTGACCCCGTCCCTCCTGTCCCCGCCTTTCCAGGTTGGCGCAGTCCCTGCTCGCCCTGTTCGCCTCGTCGCTGGCCATCTCGCTGGTGTTCGCCATCATCCCGCTGTGCCACAACGTGGTGGTGYTGGCCGTGGTGATGGCGGTGGCCGGGCTGGCCATGGGCTGCATCGACACCATCTCCAACATGCAGCTGGTCAAGATCTACCAGAAGGACTCGGCCATCTTCCTGCAGGTCAGAACCTTCCCCTGGTGGCTCTAGAATCTCCCATTATTTTTAGAATCCCCTATTAAGTTCAAAATTTCCTGCTATTATCAGAATCTCCCATTATTTTCAGAACTTCCTGTAATTTTCAGAGCCTCCCATTACTTTCAGGATCTCCTACAATTTAAAAATCTCCCATTATTTTCAGAACCTCCAATTTTATTTTTAGAATCTCCAATTTTATTTTCAGAACTTCCAATCTTATTTTCAGAATCTCCTATTGTTCTCAGAATCCCCAATTTTATTTTCAGAATCCCCAATTTTATTTCCAGAATCTCCAATTTTATTTTCAAAATCCCCAATTATTTTCAGAATCCCCAATTATTTTCACAATCTCCAATTCTATTTTCAGAATCCCCAATTATTTTTACAATCTCCAATTCTATTTTCAGAATCCCCAATTATTTTTCAGAACCTCCTCTTATTCTTAGAATCTAAATAAAAATTTTTAATTTACTTTTTAAAATTTAAATATAATATAAACTGACATATTCCCACCCTGATATTAAAGCCGCGTTCACACTTGCCAGTGATTTTTTGTAACAAAACCACTGTAAAAGTGTAAAAAAAAAAAAAAGTAACCTTCAAATGGATTGTTAAATATTAGGAATTTTTTCTTGGAAAGGGTGACTGGACACGGGGATGGGAGTGATGGAGATGTTTAGGAACAGCCGGGATGTGGCTTTCAGCACCATGGTCTGGGTGACAAAACGTCACGTTTTGGACTCGATGACCCCAAAACCTTTTCCAGCCGGGTAAATTCTGTAATTCTGAGGAACTGACAACTCTGTCACCACCGTCCCCACTCTTTCAGGCTCTCCACTTCTTCGTGGGTTTCGGGGCTCTGCTGAGCCCCCTGATCGCTGACCCCTTCCTTTCGGACACCAACTGCATCCTTTCCAACGGCACCGCCAACGCCTCCAGCAACCTCCCGCACATCCGCAAATCGCTGGTACCWCACCACCCCGGCAATCTGTCCCACTACGAGCTGCCCATGAAGGGCATGGTGGTGACACGAGTGTCCTACGCCTTCTGGATCATGGCCCTCATCAACGTGAGTGCTGAGATCGGGGATGTGCGGCCCCGCTCCGGGCGTTTGTGGGGTTTTTGTGGGGTTTGAGGGGTGCTGGAAGTGGCAGGAGTGTAGGGATGGTTGTGCTGGTTGGCAGGAATGGTCGGTTTTGGTTTCTGGTTTTGCAAATCTCGTTTTTATTGGGGTGTTTCACTGTTGGGATTTGTCCGAGCTCTCTGGGGGCATTTGGGATTTCCAGCACGGACCAGGAAGGAGATGAAGCAGAAAATTCCACTCAGATTCAGGGTTTTTCCTCCATGGAGGAGCTGGTGGCGTGGGGATGGCCTGGCAGGAGGGAATTTTTGGGGACATTCCCAGGAAAGTGCCCATCAGTGAAGGGAGTGACAGGACTGAAGTGATCAGGCCGTGTCTTTATTTATTTTTATATATTTTTATATATTTATATATTTTTATAATTTTATATATAATTTTATATATAATTTTATATATAATTTTATATATAATTTTATATAAAAATATATTTTCATATATTTTTATATATTTTTATATATTTTTATTTTTTATATTTATATATATATTTATATATATTTATATTTTTTTTATATTATTATATATACTTATTATTTTTCCTGGAGGTCCCAGCAAATATTCCGAGCAGAACTATTACATTCAGAAGCAGGGTTTGGTTCCTGATTTGACCCCAACACCGTGTTTCTCTGATTTTGGGATTGCTGGTGGGAATTTCCAGCCCCCTCCCCGATGTTTTTGGGGCAGGRTGGCACCTCAGGCTGTGCCCAGCGGGGTTGGAGCTGAGGTTGAGCATCAGAACGTCTCAAATGCACGGCTGGAACACAGAATTCCCAGAATTCCCAGAATTCTCACTAGGAATGTGACAGGGACAGTGCTGCGGGTTGGGATCAGGATTAAAAACCAAACTCAGAGTGGGGAGTTGGATGTGCCCAGCCCTCGAGCCGAGCTGTGATTGCCTTTCCCAAATGGAACTGATTTAATTCCCCGTTAAATATTTTCCATGTTTTATTCCCTTAAACCACCCCAACCCTCTGGAGACTGCTGGGAGCAGCTCAGCCCCAAATTTCTGACCCTTTTTAGGGTGGAAGCAGCAGAGGGAGATGATGGGAATGGGAATTTCAACTTCCAGGGACGTGGACGGAGGGAGTTAAACGAAAAATGGGAACCAGGAGCGGCAGCTCGGCTCCAAACCGGCCAAATCCCACATTTCCATCCCGGTTTTTGTGAGGATTCTGACAAGGCACGAGCTGGAATGATTCATTTGGAGCTCCTGCTTTTGTTTAGAGTGGAAATGGCTCAATCTGGCTCTGGCACGGGCGCTCCTGACAGCGGAGCGCTGCCGATGTTATTGAAGGAAAATGGGAAAACGGAGCAGCTCAGCATAATCAAAACAAAGCGCTCGCACCGCTCCCGGCCAAAAATCTTCCACTCAGCGGCAGGAATTTGTGCCTTTTCATCCAAATTTCGGAATAACCCCCACATTTTAAAATTCAGTTCGCCCACAGAACGGAAATTTCATCACCCGGCCCGTTCTGAGGGGTTGGAAAATCAGGGAAAATGTTCCTCGGGGAGGGAAGGTGCTTTCCCAGGGGAAAAGCTCGGGTTGGGACACAACGGCAGGGAATGATCCCGAATTCCTGGAGGGAGAGGYTGAAATAGGGGCTGGAATATCCCCACATGGAGATGGGGGAGGCAGGAATTTGTGGAGTTTGTGGTGATGCATAAAACTGCAGGGGAAGGGAGCAGCGCAGGGAACTTGGGATTTTGGAG